ATCATAATAACCTGTGTGCTAAAGTCTAAACTTCAAAGATTCAGTTAAATTCAATTAGAGTCAAAAAAGACCAGTAGCAAGGGGTAACACAATGTTTTAAAGACTCAATGCACTGGAGAGGGAAGCAGAGATGACAAATGAGAAACAAACTTTCCCAGCAGCCGCAGCTACTTCTGCAGATTTGTAAACATTTTCCTTTTCTCGGTTTATTTTCAGTTCAATAACTGGCTTGTTCAGAGGTGAGAAACAACAAGGACATAAAAAAGAAAAGAAGGTGTGCCTTTTATCTTTTCCATAACCAAGGAAACAAACAAACCAATGAACTAACCTGGAAGAAGATGAAATGGGCTAATTCTAAAATCTTGAAAGGGAGGTTTCCAGAAACACTCTGTCAACTCACCACTCACTTTGCTTTGGTTTCATGCACCAAGTGTTTTTAGCTAAAACGTATTCTGAAATCTACTTTCTCTTCTGTACTGAGTATATGCATGGGAAACAGGATTTTACTAATAAAACCAATTCAAATTACTGCTGGGGTACTTTAGCATGGCATTCCAATTTTCATCCAAAAGCATCAGAACTCAGCTCATGAGTAATATTTTAATCACCACCTCCTCAATAACAAATACTAATTCACTGTTTTTCTAATGTAACAAATATCTAAAAACTAAGACTAAAGGCATATTACGTTACATTATCAATCAAAATAAATGTAGCAAATACAGGGCATTTGCTGAATAAAAGAATAACCAGATTTAATAATTGGACAGTGGCAGGGAAAGCTGCACTTTGGAAACTTGACCTTTTTTAGGGAAACAGGTGGGAAAAAAAAAATCCAAAAATAGAAAAAAATCAATTACTGAATCCAGGTGCCCTGCTGCTTGATTTAAATCACAACTAAAGCTTGAGATTTTAATCCTTTTGATTCATATCAGTCTCTGAAACGCAGTGGAGAGACACCAATGCAAGAACACGGCTCCACTGGTGCGGAGTCTGTGAATGCTAGTCCTTGAGTGAGAGTGCCAAGACCCCCGTTAGAAGCTGCAGCTCTTTTTTGGCAAACAGCACCTCAAATACGTTTTAATAACGGCAACGTGCACACGTCTGTAAGATGACTAACTTCTTGGCAAGACTCAACTTCATTTTGTTGAGGGCCAAGGAAAGAAGTTCCTCATCCCAAGATCCTACAGTCCACACTAGAGCTGACACACACTTAATCCATGTTTCAGGAGAGAGGGAAGCTGCAAAAAAAAAGTCCTCTTTGGTCCTCAGGGCCACATTCAACCCAGAGGGAATCCTTAGAGCTGAAATACCAACTTGAGAAAAGGTACAAAAGCACAGGTTTCACTCGCCTTTTGCTCCTTTCCCATCTCCCAAGGATCTGCATCCTCCCTCTGGAGCAGGACTTTCCTTATTCTGCCCAGCACTCCTCAGCAAGCTGAAATATCGACATTTTCCCCCTTCCTTTACCTTTTCCCTCCTGTGAAACAACTGCAGCTGACCCCTACCCGTCCCACCCCAAGGCAGTGTATGCAAACGCACTTCGGTGTATCCGACACAAACCACTTTTCTAACCCCTAGCCAAGATGCGCAGCTCACTTCCTTGCAAGGAGAAACCAGACAAAACCTAGAACACGAGCTTTGCTCAGCAACTTGCTGTATGCCCAGCCATACGTCCCAGGGGATGTGGCCTGAGACTTCACCACGCTCCACGATGAGCCCCTCCTGCCTGCATGCACCAGATGCTAAGGTGAGGTTCCCGTCCGGAATCCATCCTCGGCCCTGCAGGGTGTTGAGTGCCCTGAGCTCCTGGATTTTGAACAAGACGAAGAAGAGGAGACGAAGCACAGAGTGGGATGGGTCTCAGAGCATGCCAAGTGCAGGAATTTGGAGAAGATATCTGCTGAGCCAGTGAATCAGAGAGCAATTCAAAAATGAAGCAATACACAACCCATCAGGTGAGACGGCAAAATTCCTTGCAAATGGTTTGCAAAAACAAGTGGGCCATCCACTGTATTTTTTCTGTTGGATTTGAAGGGAAACATCCACATTGCATATCCCTGCATAAGCGAGCTGAGGCTTCATAGGACGGCCTGCATCTGCCCGGACTGCTTCCCACGCTGCTGGAAAGGGGCCGTGCAGAGGCTCTCCTGCACAGCACGGTATTCGTGAAATCGCTGTGGCTGGCAAACAGGTGGCCTTGCTGCTCCCTCCTCAGCCCTCTTTGGTTTGCAGACTTCTGGCCACCAGCGACCCACAAAGGCCATGAAAATCAGAGGCTGACCCCTGGCTACACTCGCCTCGGGCAGTCCTGGGGTTCCCACTCTCAGCTCCCCAGATTCCCTTGCTGCACCCCAGGATCGGCCATGAAGGAGAAGGGATGCTCTAGATCGCCTGGGAGTATCTCCAGAGCCACAGCCAGCTCCCATTGCATCATGGGCAGCGAGAGGCGGACAGGCAGTGTGCTTTGCTGTTCTCCACTCACTTCTCCAGCAGCAGTCCTGGAGAAGGGGTCATTTATTCGGTTGAGCGGGCAGGGCCGTGTCAGGAGCAAGGCTCCTTTCAGCCAGGGAGGGAAAGGAAGGGCAGCCCTGGGCAGGGAAATGGATGGATCCTCCCAGCCCTGAAGCAAAAGCAGTCGAGAGCATGAAGGAGGAGAATGGTGAGGACTGCTCAGGTCTCAGCAGTTGGCATGATCATGCCCAGTCCCAGTGGCTGATACGGAAGGATTCGGCTGTGGAGGACCGACATTTGCCCCAGGACGAGGCAACAAAGCCAGGCCCAAGGAAGCCAGCCCAGCCTGCCTCTGCAGTGAGCAGCCCCTCCTTGGGCCCTGGCCTGGGGACCTCGTGGGCTGTCACTAGAGTCAACGCTTGATCCATGACTAAGACCTGAAAAGCCAGTAGGCTGGGAAATGAAGTGGCCAGAAGTCCAGGAGGCTGGTGCCCTGACAAAATGCCAGGCAAGGCATGTCTCCAGACACCAGCATCGCCCCGAGCCTTCTCCCAGGAGGGACGCTGCATTACCAAGCCCTAAAGACAGCAGCCCTGACACCGTGGAGAGCAGCTGTGCCTGGGGCTCCCAACCTGGCCCGGAGAAGCTATTCAATGAGCCGTGCCCCCAGCTCACTCCCGGGGCAGTGAGTGAAGCCTGCAGTAAAGCCACCAGGCACAGGGTGCCAGCAGCTGCTGTCTCTGCAGGCAGGTGGAGGATCGTAGCTGCCCGGGGCAGAGCTGCTCTGGACCCAGCCCAAATGGAGCACCCAGCAGGTTGCAACACACAGGGCAAATGTGTACCGCTGGCGATGCCAGGGAGGTGGAGACCGTCACGCTGCTGGCCTGGCATCCTTCACGGCACCCCCTTCCCAACAGTGTGTGAAAGGCAGGTTTTCCATTGCCGCTGGGACAGAGCACTGCAAAGAAGGGAGCTCGGCTGCTGGGCCTTGACATGCTGCTTCCCTGTGGGCAATCTGCCCATGGCACCCTGCACAGGGGAGAGCTGGGAGTGCTCCCCCACAGAGGGAGCTTGGCAGAAACAAAGAAGCAAAAGCTTCCTAAAGGGCTGGAGCATCTCTCTGAACTCCATCAGGCAGAGACACCTGTGTGAGACAACAGCACTGAGATAAACATGGGTAGAAACCATCAGCAGACCGATGATAGTGAGCTGGGAACGCTTTGTCAGAGTAAGATGACAGCAACAGAGAGGTCTTGCCATAAATAAAATGTGGAAACACGAGGCACAAACCAACCCTGCATCCCCTGGGAGACCTGAGGAAAAGCCCAAGCCCTGGAGCAGGACACGCACACACAACTCCTGCAGTCCCTGCTCCCTCCCTGTGATCTCCCCACCATGGCACACAAGCAAGGCAAATCTGCTTCCAGGCAGGAAGAAAATTTTAATGCTACCTCTGTCAATAATGCAACCAGATCCATAGTTCAAAAGGAGCTTGCTAATTAAAAGCTGGTGAGCTTTAAATAATTCATCTCCTTAACTTGGATTGATTGGAGAGTTTAATGGTTAGAGTCTTGAAACAATATTAAACAGCCTCCTCAAGGCCCAGGTAGCAGGTGACTTTTCCAAGAAAATCTCACCTCCTTGCAAACTTTAATGCTCACAAGTCACCATGGATGAAGGGCTGCGAGGCAGAGGGAACACCTGACCACTGGTCTCCAAGAGGTGATCCGACGCCCCGCAGAGAAACAAGACAGGCAAGAGTGATGCAGCCCTGAGTTACAGCCCTGCCTACATCCCAGTAAATCTGAGCTCCTGCCCATACCGCAACCTGCTGCTGCCCCAGCTCTGCGTCCCCAGCATTAAGTAGCAGGCAGATATATGGCCTCAGGGTCCCGGGCCAGGTCTCCCTCCTCATATCACTTTGATCCCTGGTGCAGAGGAGCTAGGGGAAACATGAAGCTCCGCCACTGTGCATGGTAGTCTCAGTTGTTTATCTTGGAGTAGGCTGTGGGACCATGAAACTCATCACACGTGTGAGCAAATGGGATGATGATTCAGTTCTCCAGCTGGCGCCGTGCATCTTCACTCTGCAATGTGTTCCCAGCCAGCTCCTGAGGCTGCACCGCCTGGCAGAGCCTCTGTTCCAAGGACAGATGCAGCATCCAGAGCAGCTGGAGGGCTGGCCCGATAGGGAGAGCATCCCACGCAGCCTGGGGACCCCTGCCCTGTGCTCCAGGCACCGCACGAGCCCTGGTGCTGCCCACATCCACCCCCAGTCCGAGCACTGCCAGAGCGGCCGAGGAGGTGAGCAGCTCCCCGGCCAGAGGGACAAACAGGTGTGTTTGCCACACTGGGATGTGCCAGAGACCAAGAGCTCACCCCATGTGCCAATCCTGCCCTGACCCATCTTTGTCCCTTTCACCAGCCAGAGTCCCCACAGCTTTGGCTGGCTCTCAGCACCCCAGTTCGGACCTGCTCTTGGCGCTGAGGCACGTCCCACGCGCTTGGAGCAGCGGCCGCGGGGACGGGCAGGGCGCGGGTCAGCATCACTCACCTATCCCGCTGTGAGGCCTCCCTATGTGCTGTAGGTTCAGTCCTTTATTCATGTCTAAGAGCCCGTTCTTTGGCCAACTCCCCATGGCAAAGCTGTACGCCTGGAAGAGAGAAGCAGAGGGTCAGACCAGTGCACAGCCCGTGCGCAGACACATTTTGTACGTGCCCAGGCCTGGCTGCTGCCGGGACCGGCGTGGGCCAGTGGTCGCTGTGCTCAGCATGGACCCGCACATGGCCCTGGCAGAGCTATCCTGGAGCCGCCTGCACAAAGCACCCTCACCCTGGCCTGTCCCACCTGATGCTCCTCAGAGACGAGGTGGCCAGGGCCCGTTGTTGTACGGGTGACAACCCTCAGGAGGTTTGCTGGATCAGCATCACCCT